CCTAACAGAAAGGAACTAGTTGTTAGGGAAGGAATTATGGGAACCCTAGGGGGAAGTTACCACTCTATCTTAGAGTTTGTGATAGAAAAGGAGAAGAAATTTTGGCATAGTCAGTCTGTCAAGTAGCCCAAATTTGGGGAAAGAAGATTTCAAGAGATTGAGAGGAAAATAAGAGGGAGCCCACAGAGGAAAATGCTATAGCAGAAATCAGCCTACAATTGAGGATGAGAGAGGTTAAGTGCTTTGCTCATGGTCACAAGGCAGGTAAATATCTGAGACTGGATTTGAAACTAGGTCTTCCTGTCTTTAGATCCATTACTTTACTTACCACAGAACCTAGCTCCCCTATCAATAGGGATAAATATCAAGTCTTACACTTCAGTACAAAATCAGCTTCATTAGGATAAGATGGGAAGGAATAATTAACAATTATTCTGAAAAGATCTGGAGGTTTTAGTGGGTTACAAGTTCAATATGAGTCAACAGTATGATATGCATTAAAAAAAAAAAACCTACTACAATCTTGCCCCACTAAGAGGACCATAGCTTCCAGAAATATAGAGGAAGCAATCTCTTTGAATTCTGCCTTCATCAGAACTCATCTGGAGACTGATGTTCAGTTCTGGGCACAGCCATTTAAGGGTTTTATAAGTTTTAGAGTATCCCAGGGAGGGCAGCTAGAAGGGTAAAAGGCTTTGAGTCTATAGATTGAAGGACTTTGACATATTTGACCTGGAGAACAGAAAATTGAAGGGATTTAGGGGGTAGGGGAGAAGAACAATAGTTATCACATGTTTGAAAGGCTGTTGTGTAGAGAGATTAGGCTTGTTTTATTTACTCCAGGAGGAAGAACCAGGGACAACTGGCAGAAGTTGTAAAGAGATCCATTTAGGTTGGGTGTCAGGACAAACTTCCTGACACTTAGAGCTGTCATCAAGTGGACTGGACTTACTCTAGAGTTGGTAGGTTCTCTTCACTTGCTGGGTATGCTACAGTGGAGATTTTGTTCATGTATGGGCTGGACAGATGGCACTGAGGTCACTTCAGCTCTGTGATTTATTGATCAATAAATGCAATGCTGCGTGACTCCATTTATTTTCTTCAACATATCCTAGTTGCATTGATTTTGTTAATTCAAATGTTTTACAACTGAAATGATCTATTTTATGTTTTGTGGTTATTTCTATCTTTTGGTTAAGAATCTTCCACTTAACCATAGCTTTACATAGTACCTCATCTGGTTCTTTTCTGAATTTGTTAATGGTGTGGTCTTTAATATTCATGTCATGTTTCTATTTTAAGCTTAGTGTGGTGTATAATGTTATAAATACATGTTGGTCTAAATCTAATCTCTGCCAAACTGCTTTCCCATTTTCCCAAGAGTTCCTGTCAAGTAAGGAGTTCTTTCCCAAGTGATCTATGTTCTCAGATTTATAGAAAACTGATTTATTCAATTCAAATGAGAGAAATGATTGTTAATAAGCAGTGATTTGGGAAGATCTAGGGTTCTCCCCTTTTTTCTAGAGTTCTCATTTCAAGGCTCAGCCTCTGAAGGACAGGACTGATAGGATTAACATTCTCCTCAATCTAGGTATTGCTACTCCACCCATTCTTAGAAGTAATTTAATCTAAGGTGAAACTCCTGGCCCACTGTGATCTACTCAGGATTGGGTGGGGGATATAGATCCTTTGTCTAAATTTCTCCAAGGCAGGGAGTGATTTGGAAATAAATGTACCTCTTCTAAACCCTCATTAGAATAGGCCTTTCTCTCATTATAATATTCATTCTCTTATTAATTGTTAACCAATAAGAGTTGATTGCCATCCTCAAGAACACCCATTCTTCCACCATTGTGAGGAGTCTTTGTTCCAAGAGAGATGGCCAAATAGCCATTCTTTTTATTAATAAAATGCTAGCATTTTTAATAAAATGATTAATTACCCAGAAACTATGTCTCTCAAACTTTTTAAATGTCACACAATTATGTCTTATTCTTCAAAAGGTGGAGTACTAACTACTAAAGAGAGAAGGAAAGTTCTTATGAATATGATAATATATGGGCTGTGCTTTCAAGGAAGCTGGGGATTTTAATCAGTAAAGGTGAAATGAGATTACAGACATGGGGGCACAACCTTTGAAAAACACAAAAGTGGGAAAGGGACTGTCATTCATGGGAAACAGCTAGCCAATTTAAAGCCAAGTTGACCAGCATGGAGAATGTGTAAAGAAGAGTAATATGAAATTAATTGAAAAAAAAATAGATAGGAGAGAGATTGTGAAGGGTTTTGCTAAGATGAAAATATTGTATTTTTTATTCTCAAGGAAGTAGGAAGCCACTGGATAGTTTTAAACAGGAATTTGGCATTGTCAGATCTTTCTTTTTAGGGATATCAATTTGGCAGTGGAATGGAGGATCGGATTAGAGAACAGAGAGGCTGGGAGCAGGGACACCAATTAAGAGGCTGTTTCAATAGTCCAAGAATCTGATTAGGGCTTGAACTAGGTTCATTCCTATATGAATGGAGAGAAGTGAACATATGCAATAGATGTTGTAGGATTAGACTTAACAAGTTTTGGCAACTTATTGGGTGGTGAGGAAAAGGGAATAATTGAGGATGACTCTAAGTGTCCAAAACTGAATGATTGGAAGGATGGATGAGCCATCAGCAGAAACGAGGATGTTGAGAATGGAGGGATTAATTTTGGAGGAAATAACAATGAGTTCTGTTTTGGACATATTGATACTGTGATGCCTATGAGACATTATAAGCAGGTGAAAATGTCCAATAGGCAACTGGTAATACAGAGCTAAGATTCATTCCAAAGAGAAAGGATCTGGATATACAGATTTTGAGTCATTTGCATAGAGATGATAATTTAATCCAAGATAGCTAATGAGTTCATTAACTTAGAAAATGTACAGAGGGAAAAACAGCACACAGAGCAGAGCCTTGGGACACATCCATACTGTGTCGGAAAAGGATGGTGATTCAGCAAAGGGGACTTTGAAGGGATAGGTAGATAGAGGAGGAAAACCTAAAGGGGGGTAGTATCATGGAAGCCAAGTAAAGAAAGTGTCCAGGGGAAGGGGTAGTCAACAGTGCCAAAAGCTGCAAAGAGATCAAGCAGAATGACCCTTAGAAAAACCATTTAATTAAGAGATCTTTAACAATCTATAAAGCGCTTCCCTTATAACAACATTATAAAGTAACATAAGAATAATCATTAAGTAGCTATTAAATATTAGAGCCAGGGTTTGAAAAAAAGAATCATATTTACTGACTTTAAATCCATTTTTTTAGTAGATATGATATCTACCTCTAAAATGTGACTTCAACACCATGGAAGTGACCCCAGATTCTGTAAGTCAGTAGCATTGGAGTACAAACTTTGACAGGGTCTACCAAGTGAAAATCTGGGCAGCTAGGTGGTGTAGTGGATAGAGTACCAGGCCTGGAGTCAAGAAAACTCTTCTTCCTGAGTTCAGATCTGTCCTCAGACACTTACTAATGGTGTGACCCTGGGCAAGTCACTTAACTCTATTTGCCTCAGTTCCCTCATCTGTAAAATGAGCTGGAGAAGGGAATGGCAAATCACTCCAGTGCCAAGAAAACCCTAAATGAAGTCACAAAGAGTTGGACGTGACTGAGACAACTGAATAATGACAACCAAGTAAAAAAAGGTCTTCTACTACAATCCAGGTAAGAGACTATGTGCCTGTTTTCCAAAGACCAACTAAGTTAGGTTTAGAATCTCATCCCTAGATGTGTTTCCACAAGAACTTTTTTCGACCATAGCACTGAATCGACAAGCATTTATTAAGTGCCTACAATGTGCCCAGCACTAAGCTGGGGGAGGCTGAGAATACAAATATAAAACATGAAATAACCCCTATCATCATGAGACTGACATTCTAACTTATGAAGACTGCCCACAAAGGGAGTCAACTGAAGTCATCAATCTTTTGAACTCATATTTTAGAAAATATTATTCCCCTAATGGAAAGAAGAAAAACACACAAGGGATGGGTCAAATACATCAGAAGAAAAATACAGCAGGCTATCAGAGCCATGCACGTGGATTGTGAGATTATTGATTTAAAGCTAGAAGGAGGTTTTTAGAGGTCATCTAGTCTAGTTCCCTCATTTCACAGATGAGGAAACTGAGGCACAGAAAATTTAAGTGACTTGGAAAGTTTGGAATCTTGTCCCATCTTGTTTCCTAGCTATATGACTTAGCTCAAGTCACCTGGGCTTTGTGAGCTTATTTTCCCATTTGTAAAATGGGGATAATAATACGTAAGCTACCTATTTCATAGCTTAGTTTTGATTGAAGTCATTCAAAAATATTAAAGTACTATAAACATGTAAACTATCATGATGATGATCATTAAGATATGTCAGAACTATGGGATTTCTGAGCCAGATTTCTAGAAAAGATGAAGAAATCAACTTGAGGGGAATAGACTGAAAAGTTCCTCCTTCACATAAGGAACTCCATTCCTAGTGCTGAGTAGTAATAGGTTTTTGACTAATAATAGTTAATATTTGTTTAATACTTCAAGACCACATGGTCTGGTAGGTAGCATGCTAAGCCTGAAACCATGAGGACATGGATTCAAATTCTGCTTTAAATACCAGCTATGTGAACATGGACAAGTCACTTAAAAAAATCTATAAACCTCAATTTCCTTATTTATAAAGCTGAGGGATATATAAAAAGCACTTTGTAAACTTTAAAATTACATGTAACTATCAGTTATTTCTATAATAACTTTTTAAGTACTTTACATAAATTATCTCACTTGAGTCCAGTAAAGTAGCTTGTACATATATATTATTCCCAAAGAGATTTGGTCATGTAGGCAAGTTACCTTTCTACAACAAAGGTTCTTATTAAATACATGATCTCATTTGATCTTCAAAACTACCCCATAAGTTAAACAAATAGGTTAATTATTAAATATCATAACTATAAGGGAAATTAAGAGCTCATGTACCTGAGGTCTCTTGACTCAACTAAGGTCACAGAGTTAACACCAAAGACTGGTCTCAAACTCAGGTCTTCTGATTCGGCATAGAATGTGGGAACACACATTGTTCTTTAATTCTATTACAACATAAAATGTAGCACACTCCCTTGCAGAAACTAAGTGTTCCTCAGCTAGGAGCCAGATGGGATTAGAGAAAGTTGATTACAGGGGGGAAACATATAACGAAAAGGTGGTCAGTCAGTAGAGGAGAACTAAGAGAGCTCTAGGCCAGTGCTTCCCAAACTAATTTGACTGCTGACCAATTGAGGTTTGAATTACATTGATGAAACCTGTAAATTCTATTCCAAGGGCTGGATGGAATACCCCTGAGATGAAAGGGAGAATGAAAATCTTGGAGCAAAATAGAGAAAATTGAGCCTATTTTCATACCAAAAAATTGCCTCATGTAATAACTTTTTGGATACATCCATACATCATAAATATCACTAGCTTTAAATTCTCTTACAAAATCTGTACACTCAACACCACATAGCTCATATGAATTAGCACCAAAAACTCTGATGAGCACTAAGACCCACATCCACACCAGCATAACACTTCTGCTAGCCATCTGTTATGACTTGATATCATCACATGTCCAACCCACCTCTTTTTTCTAAACACGCTTTTTTTGTTATACTTCTTGCATCTGAGTCAGCATGGCACTGTGAATGGAGTGCCGCTTTGGATTCAGAAAGAGCTGAGTTCATATTCTAGCTCAGATACTTACTAGCTCTGTGACCCTGAGTAACATTTCATTTTTCTGAGTCTCAGTTTTCTCATCTGTAAAATGATCAGCTTTGTTCACATGATCCCTAAATAGTTCTCGTAGCTCCCACAATCTATAACTAAAATGGGGATAACAAAAGCAACTGTCTCAAAGAGTTGTTGAGGATAAAAGCTAACTTTTATATAGCACTTTAAACTCTGCAAAGCACTTCATGGAAATTATCTAATGAGAGATCTTCAAAACAACCCTGTGAGGTGGGTGCTATTGTCATCCTCATTGTACATAGGGAGGAACTGAGGCAGACAGTGAGGTTAAATGAGTTGACCGGGGACATATAGGTAATAAGTATGCAAAGCAGGATTTCAGCTCTGGTCTTCCTGACTCCAGCCATAACACTGTACCCACTATGCCTCTTAGTTCCCTAACAAGTAAGAGAATCAACTGAGATAGGTCCTATCAAAGCATCTTTGTAAAACAATTACTTTTAAATAGATGTGGTTGTTCTTAATATTCTACAACTGACTTAGAACTCTCCCCATTGTCCTTGGGGTCACCCACAATATTGAGACTTCAGAGAATGAGGAGACTCTATGGAGATTTGTGATGCTGGTTCTGTAATTTGCCAATATATTATTATTATTATTATCATCATTAGAAGGAGGAGAAGAAAGAGAAGAGAAGAAGAAGAAGAAGAAGAAGAAGAAGAAGAAGAAGAAGAAGAAGAAGAAGAAGAAGAAGAAGAAGAAGAAGATGACAACTAGTGGAAAGAACACTGAATCTGAGTTCAAATCCCAAGTCTCCCTCTAAGGAGTTACGTGATATTGAGCAAATCATTTCATCTCTCTGGGACTCAGTTTACCCATCTGTAAAATGGAGATAATACATGTACATTGCACTACCCAAAACACATTCCCTACCTCAGAGGGTTGTAAAACAAATCACACGTCCAGCACTTTGTAACCCCAAAGTGGCTATTTTAACATTCACTATTATGCAACCCCAGGGTTCTTTGGAAGAGTTTTGGAAACACTGATCTTGGCTGAGCTCCCTTCTTTCTTTTGCATGAAAGACTAAGGAAAGCTCTGGAGACTTCTCTTCACTCTACAACTTTTCCTTTTGTTTGTTATTTTAAACCCCTGTGTGTTTCCTGTAGTTACTATCATTTTAAAAAAATGCTATGAACTCAAAAGGAGAATTATAGTTTATTGCAAAGAAGGCAGAAGAGGAAAGGGAGACAATGGAAACCTGTAGTCTTTTCTGTAATAAAGACTTGAGAAAATGGAACCTTGGACCAAGAATTGGATAGTAACAGCAAAAACTCCATTGGGGGAGTCAGCAAGCCAAGTTCTAGAGTTCCCTGGAGATTTTTAAGCAGGGGTCACAGCACCCCTTTAAAAGGGGAGAACAGGGGGCCCCTAATACCAAAATAGGCATTCAACCTGTGTAGTTCAGATTAATAACCAGAGTTTCTCTCTCAAGTCAAATGATTAAATTTGCAGTTTCTCCATTTATCATCTCACTCTCAAATTGCCCCAGGCTGCAACCCCACCAAACCCAATTTTCAGCAGGACATGTGACTTGTTTCCACGGCATTTCCATCATGAGGAGGCAGAAAAATTACAGAACGCCCCTTTGCAACCCCATCTGCAGATAAATACACTTTAGGGATTCGTTAAACACAGTTTCTTTGTCCAATTTTGAGTATAAACTATCGCAACTTCTCTGTGGTGGGGCCGATGTAATCTTCCTTGGCTTGATCCAAGGCAGATGCTCAGTTACACAGTGGAATTAAGTGTCTCAAAGGTTAATAACTCTTTCTATCATTTTTCACTAAAGTGCTTGGAGTGGGCAGTTCCTGAAGGAATAATTCCTTGGACTTTGGCATACCCCTGCTGCTCACCCCAGTGGGCTAACCTTGAGATTCCCCACGCCAACGCTTCTACCACTTGACAGGTTTTTGTTCAAATTTCGCCTCACACCTTGGGACAACTGAAACTTCTTAGACAAACCACATGGAGAGGGTTCCCATGTCTGCTGCAGGAACTCGAAGTTCTGTTCACCACCCATGTGGGTGGGGCCAGCTTTGCCAGATGGAGAGCAGGAAGGGGAAGGGGTGGGGGTGGGGAAGATAGGGGAAATAAGAGGTAGGGGGGAAGAGCTATTACGTGTGTCTCATGAAACGGCCTTGGTTCAAACCTTGATTTGCTGCAGGTTCAGAGAAACTCCAGCAAAGTTATTGTTATGGTAAATTCCAGGCTCTGTTGACATGATCCATGTCCGAAATACAGCTCATCTCCAAACCTTCAAACCTGAGGGACTCATCTTTCCCATCAGCCCAGCTGGAATGCCTGGCCCAAAGCTAAAGGTCAAAGTCAAAGTCATTAAAAGATAGAAGGTAGGTAGGGGAGAGGGGGAGAATGTTAGGGGAGGGGTGATTCAGAGAAATAGAAAGGGAGAAAATGTTCCCCCTCATGAGCAACTACAGAGCCACAGAGCTAGAAAAGCCTTTAGAAACTAGCTAATCCAACTCTTCCATTTTACAGATGAGGAAACTGAGGCTCACAAGGAAGGGAAATAACTTGCCCGACATCACACAGCTAGTAATAACTGACAGAACTAGGAGCAGAACCCAAATCTTCTGATTCCAAATGTAGCATTCTTTCTGATAAGCTAAACTGCATCTCCAAGTTGATACGCAATGGAAAGGCATGCTGTTATGTTATGAGGATTCAGATATGCTCTGAGGACTTACTAGCTGTGTGACCCTGGACAAGCCATTTATCTTTTCTATGATTCAGTTTCATCATCTGTGAAATAGGAGTAATAATACCACTTACCTCCCTGGGTGGTTGTGAGGATATAAAGATATATTTGTGAAGTGCTTCACCAACTTTGAAATGCCATATAAATGGTAGCTATTATCATCATCCTTATTGTAAGACAATAGAATCATAGATTTTGAAACCTTACAGGCCTCATTACAGGTGAGGTAACTGAGGCATGGAGCAATTAAGTGATTTGCCGAGAATCGTGGAGCTAGCAAACACCTGAGGCAGGATTTCAAACCAGGTCTTTCTGATTCCAAGTCCAGTGCCCTATCCACTCTCCCATACTGCCTCTTGGCAGAAGATCTGGGATCAAATCCTAACTCTGACACACTAGTTATGTGATCTTGAATGAAAAATTTGGCCTATCTGGGCCTCAGATACATCATCTATAAAATGGAGACAATAAGACATATCAAACCTCTATCACATGGTTGTGAAGAAAGGGCTTTAGAAATGTGAGTGGTTAATAGGTTAAACCATGCCCCTTGAAGCCTATGAAGCAGATCATGATCCTATTTTTCAACATTAGCAATGAAAATAGAACATAGCTAGTGATTTCTCTAGCCCTCACTTCTCTCTGAAGCTTGAAGAGATCATGCAACTGCCTCCTGGACATCTCTGCCTAGATTTCCCATAGACATTTCAAACTCAATACATCTATCCATACATGTTTTTCTAAGACCATCAAGCTCATCTTTTCTTATAGCACAAAAATATTCCATTACAAACATATACCATAACTTGTCCAGACATCCCCCAATTCCCCAACACAGTTTCCAGTTATTTGAATGGTAGTCATCTGGGGGGGGGGAGGAAGAAGGAAGAAAAAAAGGAAAAAAAGGAAATTTACATGGCTTGATTATATATTTAAAAGGAATAGCAAGTTGTATAATAAATGTGCAGTTTCACATGCAATCACATTTTTTATTACACTATGTTATGGAAATCCTTGTTTAATTTCATAAATTAAAAATAAAATAAATAAAATTTTAAATACAAAAAACCCCTCAATATGTATAAGACAAAACTTTTTACCTTTCCCCCTAAAACCCATCCTTCTTCCTGACTTCTTTATGTCTGTCAAGGACATTACCATTGTTTCAGTCATCCAGGTTCAATACTTTGTATTATCCTAGACTCTTCATCCTCCCTCACTTCCCATATCCAATCCATTGATAACCCTCATCAATTCTGCTCCCACAACATCTCTTGCATCTGTCATTTTCTCTCCATTCAAATAGTCACCATCCTTATTTTTTTTGGCCCCCATCTTCTCCTCTCTGTTCTATGTCCTTCAAGGTAGCTTCCAGGTCTAAATTTTATCATCCCATGAGCTATGCCCTTTTGTGGATGCCCTTGGCGAATTTTGGTTCCTACCTTTGCTCAAGTTGGCCACATTTTGTCTAGGAATAGGCAGACACCTTCCCCCCATTTCTCAAAGGGATCAAACCGATTGGGGTCTTTCCAATGGTCAGAT